CCCTCTTCACCCCATTGGTTGCGCCGCTGCCGCCGCCGCCAATCGCCGCGGCCCGAGGAAGGGCCGCAACAGAGCGGCCAATCAGCGAATGCACCCGAGGCACAGCGGAAAGTGCCGAGCGCGGCCCGCGGGGCACGATGGGAGCTGTAGTCTGCATGCGGGTACTCTGAGCTCCCGGTACCCCCAGTTTTCCCACAGCCCGCACCCCCCTAGCCCAGCCTTCCCCGTACTCCCAGTGCCACCAGTTCGTCCTATACTGCCTTTCTACTGCCAGTCTTGTCTCTCCATGTTCCCAGTACTCCCCACGGTTCCTCCCAGTATTCCCCACCGCGCTTCCCCCCATGCTCCCAATGCCCACACCGGCCAATCGCCCCTCCCCCAGCTCCCAATACCCACTATCCTCCTTCCCAGTGATCCCATTAGTAACCCTGATCCTGCCTTCCTCCCGCCTCTGTGCTCCCACTACCCTTCACCGTGTGCCAAAGTGCCCTGCCCCAGCCCTTGGGCCATTACCTCCATGAAAGAAAAGGGGTTCCTGAGGACATCCCCCTTAGACAGTGTCCTTGACATTATGTATCACTTTATTACTTTTATTTAAATGTAATTTCCAGCTCCTCCAAATTCCTCTGTTCCCTTTTAAAAGGGCCCCTCACTCTCGGAGGGGCAGAACCGTGTTGAACCTATATTTAACCCAGAGGGCAGCGCTGGGGGGGCTCATTCTCCAGAGAAACCCCCCACTCACCCCTCACCCACCTCGCTCCAGCCTCAACAGGGGAAGGTCCATCCTAGAAAAAAATCCCCTGAATGAGCCCCAAAGCCTGTCTGCAGGGGTGGCCCCTCTGCACCCCGTGCCCTTCCTGCTATGGTACAAAGAGATCAGTAACTACGTTAGTGTGACCCCCGCCACGGGAACACGGACAGTCCTGCCGGGACCACCCGTTGGACAGGGAGTGTAAGGCAAAACATCACCGGCCCCCAGGGCCCCCCCCACGTACCCCCTGACGTGCCAGACCCAGCACGAACGGTCCCCCCAAGTAATTAGTGTTTTCTTGTTAAAATGCTCAAGTTTGGGGGAGTCAGCAGTGAGAGCCAGAAGAACCCCAGGGGGGAATGCCAGGGGAGCAGTGGTTTTGAGGGGGGCACATGGGGGTGCCGCCCCTGTGGGGTCAGAGAAAGGGGTTTGAGGTGTCCCTGCATGGTCCCAATCATGTTCCCCCCCCCATCTCCACTGGCTCCTGTGCAAAAAAGCAATGGGTTGTGCCAGGACAACAAGGTTCCACCAAGATAACGAGGCTTTCCCAGGATAATGAGGCGCTGCTGGCCTGTCCCTGCTTCTCCTCGCTCTGGGGGTCTCACAGCATGTCCATTCCCTGCCTGACCCCAGCCTCTCTCCATGAGCCCCCCTGGTCCCAACAGCCGGCACATGGCTCAGCCTCAAGTCCTGTGCCCGGCTCCCAGGCAGATCCCGACCCAGGATCCATGAGGAGGAATGAGGGATGGACCCATCCAGGCTTGCCACGAGGTCACTGAGTCCTGGGGGATGCATAGATGAGGTGGGGCTGGCGGAGCACGCTGGACTGGGGGGATCCACTTGTCCTGGGAAAACCGGAGAGGCTGGGAGTGTGTCATGCAGGATCCGTGGGGCTGGGAGCTGAGGGGGGGTCCGGCTGAGGAAGGGGAAGGTGGTCCATGTCTCTGCTCTGGAACAATCCACCTGCACAGCCCGGTTTCACCTGGGGATGGGGGGCAGAGGGGGAGCTCCACGCGTAGCTGGAAGACAAGGAAGCCTGTTGGAAGTGGGAGCTCCGCAGAGCCGGATCCAGCACGTCTGCTTTCCCTCCTCCACACCCCCGCGCCAGCTGCCGGCCCCCCCGACCTCCCCGCGGAGATCTGGAGCCTGGGATTTGCGCCTGGCAGCAGCCGCTGCAGCCGCACCGAGCTCGGGGCTTTTCAAACCCGCATTAAACATTCATGGCTCTAAAAATAAACGAGCATCCCATTCTCCCCGGAGTCTCCGCCGGGATCCGCAGCGCTGACGCGCAGCACCAAGGGCACTTTGAGCTCTGCCGGGTCCAAGTGCCGGTGCTTGGGGCCTATCCTGGGATATATGCAGGGTCTGCATCCCCCCAGCCCCCTGTCCAGGCTCTGCTGGGGTCCTTCGAGATCCCCTCTGGTAACAAAGGTGCTCAGCAAAGGCAGGAATGAGCCCTGTGGCATTTCCCAGCCGGAAAACCAGGAGCAGGTGGGAGAGGACATCCGCACAGCCCAAATTTCTGCCCCCCTCCACAGCACAGAGAGCTGCCTTCAGGGCTTGGTACTCCTGGGAATGGGGCTCAGAACCCCCAGAACATGGGCAGGACCCAGGGCACGGCCACTGCACCACCCACCCTGTGCAGGGACAAACAGGACAGTGCCAACCCCAAGGGCACAGGAGGGGACAGGGAATTTGGGACACCCCCTCCTCCTTCGCCTCACCTCTGTTTGTTTTGCTGGGGTAGATTCTCTGGAAGTATTTATATTCCTCTGGGGCTGGGAAGTCTTCAACGGGGTGAAAGGAGTATTTGGATTCAAAGTCATCTGTGAAGAAATGGGAAAAGGGGCAGGTGAGGGAGGAGGCTCTGGGGGAGCCAGGCCAAAGCCCCAGGGCTCTGAGGGGGATCAGTGCGGGGGTCCCACTCACCCAGGAATGCTCTGACGGTGGAGATGGAGTCCCGGTGCCCGTTCCGCACGGGCGGCGGTGGCGGCGGAGGCCCGGCCGGGGTCCGGGTGGGTG